AAATATTCAAAACGGAAAAAGATTCACCATTTAATTTAAATTTTTGCAAGTTAAGAACGATAATTAGAATGAATTACAGATAATATTTAAAAGCCACACAGTACCCGTATAACCAAGCGATATAGGTTTCCATGAACTATATAGATTAGATGATATTCTATAAAGATTTTTCGATATAGATTTCAACTATATAGCGTATTTATAGAATTAGTAAATATTTTCTGTACAGATATTTCTTTATTTAATCTGTACAGCGGCATTAAAGCATTACCTAAGGCTGACGCTCACTGGAGCGCAGCGTACGGAAGCGCGGCGTAGAGGACTTTTTAAAATACATTGTTTTAAATGGGAGTATGCCGATCGGTGCGCTTCCGACAAGTGAGCGTACTCCCGTTTAAAACAATATATCTAAAAAGTCCTCTCCGCCGCGCTGCCGTGCGCTGCGCTCCAGTGAGCGACAACCTTTATAGATTTTCCCTGTATAGAATATATGATTCAAATATAGCATGTATAAAGTATCGTTATATTAGCGATAACGAATGTATATAGATCCTGTAAAGTTCTTTGATAAAAACATTTGCTGTTAAGGAAAATGTATTATTACTTTATTGAGTCTTTACTTGATCGATACTGATATGTCTACATTTAAGGGACACATATCAAGACCAAGTAACGGTAAGATATAGACCAAATAACGGATGAGTATAGATTCTGAGCTTTGAAAAAGTTGTGTGCTGTGTTGTTAGCTGTGTTAAAAAATGTCCACTGGCACTTTATGCTGTTTAACAGTTTTTTGATACTTACAATGGATACGTGTGTGTGGCTCACAAATTGGATTTTTGCGGGAAAAATACCTAGACGATTGAATATCTAAGTTTTCATCGAAACCCTACTCCTAAAATGTTTCTTGTCGACGTTTGATATCCTCTAGCAGTTTCAGCCCACGCTTTCATCCAACGACGACAATTTTTCTTTTCTGTTTCCGGCATTATATTTAATTGCCTACTTAATTATTACACGTAAATATATTAATAATAAATTAGCCAGAATAGGGTAGTGGACAAGGTATAATTTCAATGAAATCGATGATCTATTGTTCATCAATGGAGTAAATGAAAAATATTCCTATTGAAAGAAATTTCAGAAAAAATTGCTAACTTGGTTTAAAATGATTGTAAAAGTAGAGTTTTGGGACGCACTATTTAAACGAAAATATTTCGCGCCTTGTTTCTACGTCATAGCTGTTGTATTTGAGTATGAAATGATTTAAACCTTCGTCCTATATTCGACACACACCTACTCATTAGTGCAAAAAAGAGAGATATATCAGCGTCTGTGTCTCATTCCATCTTGGCGTACCCTCAACTTAACCCCACTTTTTGAGAGATTTTCATTTGTCAATTAATGCGCACTGAGCTTATCTGCATCTTTTTCTAGAAGCATGTAAAATATAAGGACGCACCTACCGCGCTCTCGCCCACTCTTATTAATGTCGGAATGCCTTGTACATAACAGCTGTGACGTAATTTCCGGGCGGTAAGTTATAGCGTTAAAAATGAGTATAAATTTGTTTATTTTTTTTTAGGTATATTTCTGTTTTCTGAAATCAAAGAATCATCAACTACTATTTATTTTGTTATGGAGATTAATAAAAAAAAATATTTCAAAAAATTTTCCACTACCCTATTGTTTAAAAATACAGTATAAGGCCAAGTTTTGCAAACATTTAAAATAGGGCTAGCTGGTGCAGAGAGTTAAGCCACTACAATACAACTACAGCAGATGTCGAGGTCGTAGATTCGCGTCCCACCACAGGAACAACCCACCCTGTATTGAAGAAGGTGAAAAAAGTACCTATCATTGTTTGTGAATTTTCTAAAGTAATAAGTGATAATATAATAAAGTAAAAGCTATAGGAGTTATATTGCCCCCAAATACCTATAGAACAAGAATATAATAATTTTTAAAAAAATTGTACTTTTTTTTATTTGTAGCTTCTGCTAATTACAGTCTCTATCGAAACTTTATTTAATCTATATCGGGGCGATAGCGAATCGATACATGCGAACTTTATCCAGTTCTTACCCAGACTATATTTAAGCCCGTATCGTCGCTCTACCAAAAGAATATAGATGGTCTTTATCGGAGTAAAGATTTGAATATACACTGCTCAACAGTTGAAGTGGATATTCTAAAATTTTGTATTTATTTTGTCAATACTTCAAAGTAAAGTAAAAAATCATGTATAATAAAAACATTTTATTGATTGATTATATCGCCCAGGAAAAAAAAAAAAAATTTAGTGCAAAATTTAACATTTACAAGAAAACTGATTAAATTGGGAAAAGTAACAACACAAAAAAAATCTTGTATCGCAAAATTCACAAAATCCCTATAAAAAATTAATATCGTGTTGGAACTCCTCTGGCCCGCCTTAGTACTATCACTCTATTCGGAAGGCTCATTATCAAATTATTGATAAATTGCTGAGGTATGATTTGCCAAATTGCCTGCAACTCATTAGCCAACTGTTCCAGGGTTTGGGGAAGTTGTGGAATCCGGTTTAATCGCCTAGACATTTCGGCCCAAACATGTTCGATACAATTCATATCTGGTGAACAGGGTGGCCACTCCATTCTTGTAATTCCATGATGTTCTATGCGATCGTTCACAATTCTCGCACGATGCGGACGGGCATTATCGTCAATTAATACAAATTGTTCACCTATTGCACCAAAAAATAGGACGACTATCGGCTCTATAACCATGTCTCGATATCGTATGGCAGTCATTGTCTCATTAATTAAGATCACTAAATCAGTGCGACCATTATGACATATGCCTCCCCAAACGCAAACTGACCCACCATCAAAAAGAGTTGTTGGGGCCATTAAATGTTCAATGTATCGCTGTCCTTTTTCTCGCCAGACCAATATTCGACCATCACACGTATATACAAACGAAATCTGGACTCGTCGGTAAAGAGGCAATGTCTCCAATTTTCAAGAGTCCAAAGACTATGGTCTCTCGCCCAGCGATATCGGCATGCACGCAGCTCCGCCGTCATTCTTGGGTGGGTAGCGCGACGTCTAGGCCTCAAGTTACATGCATGCAATCTTCTTCTGATATTTTGACCAGAAATCACTCTTCCAGTAGCTTGTGTAAAAAAGCTGTTAATTCTTGAAGCCGTGAATGTTCGGTTTCTTCTTGCAGTCAGGACTATTAAGCGGTCTTGAGCAAGAGTTGTAGCTCGTTCCCGTCCTCCACCATGTGTGTACGCTGCAGACCCAGTTTCTAAATACCGATTCCACGCACGACTTACGACACTTTGAGACACATTCAGCCGCACAGCGACTTCTTCTTGAGACAAACCTTCCTGTATCCAACGCAATAATTGCTCGAGTTGCACTGCTTCTAATCGTCGTAACGGCATATTATTCTTTAAGCGAATACACAAAACTATTGATAACAGTAGCAAAATCAAGTGTGTACAAGCGGTTCTGTAGAACTGATACTTTCAGATATAAAGCAACATTCCTGCATATTTCCGTGAAAGAGATAAGGGAGAGAGCGAGCATCGACAAAAAACAATAAACATGCAAAAAATATTCGCCATGAATACTGTTTATTGATAAAATAAAACACGTCTTTTTTTCATATTCTCAAATGTAGGTTTCAGGATTTTTGCAATTATCCAGTTCACTTGTTGAGCAGTGTAGATCCTATACAGGTTATATACAGTTTGGTTATACGGGTATGAGAAGAAAATTTACGTGTAGAAGGAAAATTAGAAAGTTTATGACATCACGTCATGCACACGGCTTTTATGTACTAAATCACCCTTAGCCAAATGTTCCATAATTAATGATTCTCGGTTTGTCAAAAAACACAAGGTTGTTATAATGATTTAATTTTTGCATTTCTAGTTATCAAAATATAAAGCGAAAAGCGAAACATGTTTGCAATCTTTAGATATTCATAATCATAATCCATAAAAACACTGCAAGTTTCCCATCAATTCCATGCATTCAATGATGAATGATGCATTTACATTTTACATAGTAAACGCAACACTAAAGGACTGCAGCTGACCTCACCTCCAGCGAGAGTTTTCGCATTCTACCATTGTACTTGCGGACAGCCTGATTTAGCTGATTCGTGTGTTCGTAATCAATTTCTCATTCGTTACGATGCGTCTACGGTTCGAGTTTGCCTCCGACTCGGAAACTTTTACGCATCGGATGGATTGCAGTGCCCGAGTTCGTTTTTGTCATCTTTTTCGTCGATTTGCTCCGAAATTTTGACAGGCACGTGATTTGTTAATCAAAACTGTCTCATCCAGTCACGTGCCTGTCAACATTTTGGAGCTAATCGACGAAAAAGATGACAAACGAACTCGGCCAGTGAATGGATGTTCGTATAGTCCGGTCCCTTGCGGCCCTTACATTAAAAACATTTCATTCTCATTTGTTCCTGAATGTCTAATGGATTGCTTGTCTACACTGTGCACTGTCAACTATCACTAGTGCCACTAAGGGCGGGTTTTATAAAACTACTTTGAGAGTTAACTTAAAGTTAACTTCTGGAATTACATGTAATTCAAAAAGTTAACTTGAAGTTAAGTAGTTTTATAATATCCGCCCTAAGAAAGGTTTTTCTTCTAATATTGCTATGATACCGCTCCACGCTCCACTTGCTCTGGATCGCTCGAGTTGAGACCTCTATCGAAATTATTGCCTTGAAAAGTTCTTAGAGCATAGAGCAGTGGTATGATTTTTTTTGCTCATGGTTAATAAATATGTATATCAGATCCGATAGTCAACTTTTAGAGTGCGTTCGAAATCGTCCTAGGCGTGACACCGAGTGCACACCAGCCATGAAGTATTCATGGCTGGTGTGCACTCGGTGTGACGCCCAGGGTGATTTCGAACGCACTCTTAATATCGATATATCGGAAGAAAAATATCCATTTGATAGCTATATCGATATTTTTTCAACATTCCTAAGCAGACTCAATTCTACTTTTTATTATTTTTAAAGCAGCTATTGAATTTTGAATTTATGTATTTAATAAACTAAATAATAAAAAAATATATTTAATCAACTGAAAATGAACTCAAAGACAATAGGGATGTTATTTTCTAAGGTAATAGTATAATGTACCTCGTTGTTTGTAGTTGTCTTTAAACTTAAAGTTTGTTTTTAGTTCAATGTTAGTAAACTTGGTAACCAACCTACAAGAAATATAGGCCTTATTCCAATCGTAGTAGAACAAACAGGAAGAGGCGAACGTTCGTACGATATCTACTCACGACTCCTCAAAGAACGAATAATATGCCTAATGGGTCCAATACATGATGCAATGAGCTCGCTTATTGTTGCTCAGTTATTATTTCTTCAATCTGAAAGCACAAGTAAGCCTATACATATGTATATTAATTCTCCAGGTGGAAGTGTCACTGCAGGATTAGGAATATATGATACTATGCAGTATTGTGCACCACCAGTTGCTACTTGGTGAGTACATTCAAATGATTATTATATCCTTGATTTTACCTAAAACCTGTTGCAACCGAGGCTGCAGTTATTCTGTGCAAGGTAACTTTTTCACAAAAGTGACGGACTTGCTCCTGACTACATCTATTAAAATAAGTTCATGGGAATGCATTATAGGAAATTGAGAGATACATTTCAAAGGGTCAAGACAATTACATTAAGCTTGATTGATAATTGGCTGTTTCTAGCCCCTGTGATAAATATGATCTAAAGGTGGATCATACTGTACAGGTACATAACATACCATAAGATAATATGAAAAGTGGACAAACTAATTATAGAAACCTCTCAGGAAACCTCTTTTGGTATTTATGCAGAAAATAAAATAATAAAACATTACCAAGAACATTACCTACCTATGCACCTCTTACCTCATATTATCTTATTTTATGTGAAAACGGATCTGCCCTTGATCTGTCCATGTTCTTCTTCTGGTTTGGCAATTTTCATATTAGATTTGAAGGTGGCAGTGAACTAATAACAGCACACCTTTCTTTATTTTATAATTTTGGAAAGGAAATAATAGAATGTTTTGAAAGTTGAGAAAGACAAGGAGAAAGAGCTCAAAAAACATTCACAACAAAATAATCCAAAACTAACAAGCAAGTCAACACCCTGCCATATTATTTCCCATACATATACCTAAATGCGAGCCTAAATGCCATAAAATATATATTTTTTTATATACTCCTGGAAAAAATTATCGCACCACTGCACATAAGCATCACCATAAGCAGTGGCGCGATAATTTTGTCCAGGAGTATATTATGTTATTTCCTGTGCAAACTCTTCTTAACTAGCATCTATTATTTTTATTGATGCTGAAGAGATGATTGACCAAGTTTTTTTTCGAAACATTTTGAGAGCTTGATAGTCTCTGTAATACATCCCATTTGCCGACGTCATAACCCTTTTATAGATGGGCAAGAATGTATATAGGTACATACCTATGTGTTTAGTAAAAAAAATTACATCGGTAAAAGTTCTAGTATTTTGACTAGAATTCTGTGAAGTATTTTATATTTCAATATTGTTCCAATATTGTATGCCTATATAAAAGCATTGAATATAAATCGCAAGTGAGCCCATTGGCATAATGTCTAGATAGTTTGCAAGCTTAGGTGCTGCCTATTCCATAAACCAACTCAACAAGTTACAAACATTTTGTGGATACTTTATTCAGTCTCACCTGAACTAAATATTTGACTTCATTTATTTTTTTGCTTAAATTATTGTCTTTCTAGGTGTGTTGGACAAGCATGCAGCATGGCATCACTTATTCTTGCATCTGGAACTCCAGGGATGCGTAACTCATTACCAAATGCTCGCATAATGATTCATCAACCTTCTGGAGGTACACAAGTAGGTTTTTTTCCTTGGATGTAGATATTGTTTATTAATAGCAAACCAACTATTATAGGGTCAAGCAACAGATATTCAAATCCAAGCAGAAGAAATAATAAAATTAAAGAAACAAATCAATCAATTATATGCGAACCACACTGGCCTAGATATCCAATTAATTGAAAATAGTATGGAGAGGGATAAGTTTATGAGTCCTGTGGAAGCCAAAGAATTCGGTTTAATTGATACAGTGTTGACACGTCCTCCTATTACTGTAGAAAACGAATCAGAAATTTCTTATGCAGAAAATATGTAACAAGTACAAACAGCCAATTATGTGATTTGTTTATTATAATTAGGTATTAAACTTTGTAATATAATATTAAAATTGACTGCACACACTTTTATTGACTGTAGGTAGACCAACGACGAAGCTATAGCTTTTTCATGGGGGGCTTAGAGCAGAGGCTTGTGGTCTATGTTGAAAGGGGTTTCAATTTTAGACCAGATTATGTATAGCATATATAGGTAACCCTAGCATAGCATAGCATGTCGCCTGAGGATATCGCCAAAGGCGGAAATTTTTATTGGGTGCCACGCCCAAAAACGTTTATTTTTCTTCAAAATGGCTATTTAGCTAAGAAGTGCAGAAAATGATTTTTTCCGCACGAGCCTGATGTTCATCGAACGACGTAAAGTGGTGTTCGGTGAAGCAGCAGGTGTTCGTTTTAGTTTAGTTTGTTTTTTTGACGAACTAGGTATGCCATTTATAAAATTTAATTACAAACAATTTCCTAGATGTAAATCTCAATTATCATTATAAATCAACAGATGCCAATATTATAATCTAGACTCTAGGGGATAGACATATAATAACAATAACAAAATATTATACAACTAAAGATAACAGTTTTTTTTTCTTTAGGTGTACATACATATGTTGAAAGTTGAAAGTATTATAAAATAAATACCATACAAACAATATCCTATTAGTTAGGTTTCCAGTGGGAGATTGATAGAATAAACGCTAGAACATATTATGTTATCAACATTTTTTTAAAGAAGATTTCTGAAACTACTAAAGCTAATGTAGAAAATGTCAACATCGAAATTTTCTAAAAACACATTAGCACACCTGCATGATCTGTCCATTGCTGAATTATATCCATAGCTAGTTCTGTGATATCTAACTGCAAAAAGATTATTTTGTCTAGTATTCCTGACAGGTATATGAAAATTTATTCTACTCAAAAGATCTGGAGAATCTATTATGTTGTTAATTATTTTAAATAATTAGCACAAGTCTTAGTATTTTCTACGATTTTCAAGCATTGTTAAATTAAGTACTTAATGAATACAGCTGGGCCCGGATTCCGAACCCACGATTCGATAGTATGTCCATATAAAATAGATAGACGATACTATCGAATCGTGGGTTCGGAATCCGGGCCCTGGTCATAATCGACAGAATCCGCAGGAATGCTTAACTTATACTCTATAAAATGTAGAAATTTCTTCTGTACACGTTCAAGTCTATTTTTATATATCTCATAGAATGGGGACCATATTGTAGGTACAGCCATACTCTAAAATTGATCTTACAATTGCAATATAAGCGTTCCCCAATGCATAAATGTTTGAAAAGTCTTTTAATGATCTGATAATAAAACCAAGCAGTTTCATGGCTCTATTTGCTATAAATTCAATATGGTCCGTGAATGTAACTTCTCTATCTACGTATACACCCAAATCTTTAATTATTGTTGGTCTCTCTCTACAAGTAAAATGAAGACAGGGTCTCCATCTATTTTCTGATCTCTCTAGTTGAACATTGTCCAGCAAATAACGAAACGAACATACATGAATCCCATATTCAGGCAATGTCATTAATAAGAATTTTAAACAATAAAGGTGTACTCCTTGTGGTACACCTGATGAGACAGAGAATTCTGTAGAGATAGAATTTTCAATTTTAATGGCTTGCCTTCTTCCAGTAAAATTACTCTGCATTGTCTGCAACCAAGAGAGCATAGATCCATGTACACGCATACTTTCAAGCATAGCAATGAGAATTTTATTATCGACCTTGTCGGAGGACTTTGAGAAGTTTATGTAAATAACGCTTACCTGTAATCCGTTCTCCAATGTTTCCAACAAGATCTCTTCATAAGTTAGCAAATTTGTAATGGTAGACCTACTCTTAGAAAAGCCATGTTGCTACGTTATTGTTAAATTTTGAAAGTATGGTGATCTGTAACGATGGCCTCAAATAGTTTTGTAAAAAGTGAGATTTCAGATATGCCTCTGTAATTTTTTATAATAACGTATGTCCATGTTTAAAAATCGGGGTTACATGGCTAAGTTTTAAGCTGTCTGGAAAATAACCCGCCAACATAGATCTGTTGAAAATTTTAGCTAAAACCTGCGCCAGGGCAAATTTACAGTTAGATTAGTGGAAGGCTATCAGGACCACAAGCTAACCCATTGTTCAAAGATTCTATTTTTTATTATACATACATCCATTTCACTAATTATAATAGAGAACAAATTTTGGTGGCAGTTCCCTGGCAGGGTGCCATTTAGGTTGTTTGGATATTCAGAGTATATACAGCCACGAAGAAGTTCAACTGACTCTGACACAGAGCTACTTTCATTGCCCTCCAAAAACATTTTATTTGGATATGCCTTGTTATCTTTTTTTTAAATTTCGTAATGCCAGAAGTCCTTTTTATTTGTCATATTAAGTTCAATATCATTAATGTAGTTTTTTTAGCAAGTTTGAGAATAATTTCGACATATCTAGTCCTTAGTTCTGAGAAATCAATGTAATGGTGTAATAAACCAAGTTTTTAAATTATTTGTGAAATTTTTTATTTTCAACTATTAAAGACTCTAGGTTGTGATCCATCCAATTAGGATTTTTTTTATTTTCATATTATCAACGTACCTACATCACACAAGGACTAATACCAAAGCTAGTAGAAGAAAAAAGTAGTGAAGTCACGCAATTCTATGGACACTCTCTGACAGTCCACACAGACAAAAATCACCAGCTAAATAAAGAAACATTCATACATGGACAGTCCCTATGAGATGATCATGCATGGACAGTCCCTATGAGATGATGGACAGTCCCTATGAGATGATCATGCATTCGATTCTGATTTCCACAAAATATTATTAACGCGTATCAATCAGAGCTAAACGAAAAGAACATTTATAAAGTCTCGCCATTAATTTCATGGACAGTTTTTGACGCGCAGGCGTTTGATGCTGGTACCAATAAGGTACCAACGGCCACCAAGGCTTTTTTGGACATTTACTGACATGTCTACAAAATATAGGTAATGATCGCACATCAATAAATAGAGAATCACAAGAGCGAAAATCAGAAAAAAGTGATACGATACAATCACGCAATTAATTTTATGGACAGTCCCTAAGGAACATGTATTGAATTCTTCATAGGAATCACAGCTTGTGAATGTATAATGTTTAAATGATGGCAGAGATGTCACTACAGATAATAACAATATTGGAATAGATATACAGTCATACCCCAATCGATATTTAATTCACAAATAAAAATATGAGTGCTGAAAGAACCACAAATCCACTCAAGAATATTTTCGGTTTGTTAGCGATTTCTATAATCTTTTTCAATTCGTCTCGGTAACGTGTGCGGCAAATTTTATTTATTTTTTTTACCGCCGCAATACATCTTTTATTGTTTTAGCGTTAACTTCGTGTTCCACTTAATGCCCAACACGGAGTCAAAATATCGTATTTTCAATAAACTTCGGGAAACCAGAGTAACCAGACCAAGTTTATGGTCTCAATGCAGATGTTTTTTTATAGCCGAAACGTGCCTTATGCCAAGTTTCAGGTTTAGACATCCTTTGGTGAGCAAAGGAACGAATTTTAAAATAAAAGGGGTTCAAACGGGAATTTGCTAAGGCTGATTGATTTTTTGTCGGTATGTATGTGTAAACTGAGCAGATGTTTGCCAAACATCAAACATTTAATTTTTTTTACAATTTTAACTTTTGTATCGGATCCTGACAAGTAGTAGGTACTGATGATAGCGAAAGCCGAAAGCGCTCTACGACGCTAAGTTTTAATAAACTGAATTCTGCATGTAATACAAATTATTTCCTTCCTTACTAAAAATTAAATTTTTCATGATTTGAGCTGGAACTTCCTCCCAGATCTTCGTGATCATGGTCTCATGCTCGTCTACATTTTCCAGTTGGCGCTCTCTTTCTACCAAATTCATTCAACTCAGACCAGCTCAATTGGATTCATATTAAGGTGTTAAGTAATTAAAATTGCTCAGTGAGGCCGTGCATTATTGTCTACCAGAACGAAATTAAGTACAGCAGTGTATGTGTACATTTAAATTGGCTGAATGACGAAAAAAAAATATGCCATTTTATAAGATTCTAACACAAATAGATCAAAATCGATTGAGGAATAAATTGTCAAAATTGATTTTGATCTGATTTTTGGATATCCAATGTTAAACTTCATAAATAGGTAGATACCTCCTTGTTGAAAAAATGGGGACGTCTCATTAAGTGGTCAACTATTTTTTCGGTATCAAAAATTAAAAGCCATAAGCAATAAAATTTATGCCAAAAGATAATCTTCGGGATTTGAAAAAAATTCTAGATTTTTAGAGAGCTTTAGAACGCAGAGAACGAAATAGTTTGCTAAAGAAAATGTCCATTTATGGGTCTCAAGAAACAAAATATTTGGAAAATCTGAAGGTAAATATGGGCTTATCAAGGGAATAAATTAGGTAGGTAGGTATTTTTTTACCAATTTTATAATTTAATGATCCACCAGATTTAAAAAAGTCCAACATTCTACTATATGCAGATGACATTCTGATCTATGTGAAAACCTAAAATAGGTATTTTAAAAGGTATGTCGAAATAATACACTCTCATGAATTTCATATACCTAGTGTGTAATAAAAAGTTAGTAAAGTGAACAAATTAAAAAGTACTAATAAAATAAGTAGATAAATTAAAACTAAATACAGTAAGAAAATTGTTAGACATTTTTCAAGAAAAATACATTCAAACTTGACAATTCTGTGATAACGTGACTTGAAAAACAGGCGTAGGTATGCAACCTACTGGGTCTTTATGTCAATAAACTAATTTAAAACAGGTTCGCATTTCACTGAAATTCTAATATTGGTTCACAACTGGACTTTCCTCAAAGTTTTGTTGATCATTTACAGTTACATATTTGATGCATTGTTCAATTTCTAATTTTTCCAGAATATCCAGTCGCTTGCCTTTTGTTTCGTTATGAAGCAGTTTCAGTTTGTACCTTTTTATGAAATGATTATGATTCCTGCGATAAGCTGAAATTCTAGTACTTTTTATAGCTCTCTGTTCTAACCGCCATGAGAACCGTTCCAGAACCAGTTATATCCAGTTGCCCACCTATTTTTCAAAGAGTTGAACGTTTGTCCTACTTGACAAATGGATTGATCGAATGGAAATTACCGTTCTAGAACGGTTTTCAAGTCAGTTGGAACAGAGCTTATATTAGTGTGTTTAGGTACGATTATTCTTTGTCTTCAATTCTTGTCCAATGTTAACTGCTTCACAATCTTTTACAAATAGGAGTATACATTCCTGATTAAGTTTCTATTGGTTGTTTTTTTTTTGTTATAAACCAAGAGCCTAAAACTAAATAAGATAAAATAAATTGTAACTTGTAATTGGAAATTGTTTATACTATCAAAGTTTTTATCAACTATAAATTATTTGAAACATTTGGGTAGGTATAATATCTATAGATTCTAAATTCAAATTTAATGTTTCTTACATTTTTAAAAATTTAACATAATAAAGCAATAAGAATTATTTTGAATGCAAACAGAACAAAATATTAACTAACATTTTGATGTTTTTTTTTATCTAGGAAGAATTTCTTTAAATAAAAAAAAAGATTGTTAAAAATATTGTTGAGCAACAAATGGCTAAATATTGTATTAATTTATTCATTTCTTTAAAAATTCTGATCAAACTTATAGAGATTAACATTTATTTCATTTAATCCAACATTAATTTGATATTTAAAGTAAGTTTTTTACAAACATAATATAAAGAATAAAAAGCCCATCAGCATTTAATTTTTTGATAGTCAAATCATAGCAAGGGTGCCAGGTTTGGCGCTGCAGATTCAACCACATAGTTTCGGTATTCTTGCACCTCGTCAGTGCAGTGTAGGATCCACAACGGAAACCTTAGATCCAGTTTGGTCGAATTTGAGAAAAATTATTGACAAGGTTGCAAAAACATTTAAACGCGTCTGTGTATCCGTTAGAAAAAAACCGCGTACTTTTAGGTAGGTTTGCCATGGTTTGACTGTCAAATTTAATGGTAGCGGTACACCTAGAACCGACTTGATTCATTGTTTGGCACCGAACGACCCTTCTCCGGAGAGATTTGATTATGCCGAAAAGAGTGCAGCATACTTGACTAAATCATTTTTTTATTTCTTTTTGTTGAGGGTGCGCTGTTTTTCAGCGTGCACGACAACTTCATCTTCAACATGGAGACCTTTGCGTCTTCTAACATCTCTCCTAAGTTTGTTAGCACGCAGTCCCAATTCCAATTTAACTTCATATTCGTCTTCACTATCCTCCTCATCTTCTACTGGTTCAAAGAATGGATCACCATCGATAATCTGTAATAGAATAAGATTCTCAGTTGAACTCGTGCAGTCATGACAAAAAATATTGAATTTTGTTAACGCTGTGGTAAATAAGACCGCACATTTTTTATACCACTGAAATTTTGGCATTTGTTAGCGTTTATTTACTTTTCTATCTACAATAATTATTGTATTATCAAAGTTGGAACACGAGAACACTGTCATAGCTGCACCATGGTGCTGAAATCGTTAGCCTTTGTGGCATACAATTAGGCTACAAACGCTCATCGAGAAATCTATTTTTCTCTTGGAGATGAGGTGATCGGATTGGGTTAGTTCGGGCCAGTTTGAGCTAGTTAGTTACAAGCGGAGAGAGCAATCGTAGACTATTTACCTACAGGAAGGCGCTTTACGTGAAAAAAGTTTCTATGTGTTTTTGGCGAGGTTTTGAGTAAATTTACATTTCCGAAGATTTTTCTCTTTGAGATTAGCCGAGCGGATTGCGTTAGTTCGGGTCAGTTTGAGTTAGTTAGTTAGTTACGAGGGGAGCGAGCAATCGTAGAGAATAAATCAATTTCAGAAAGGCGCTATACGCACTATAGGTACTCTATACTTTTCGAGTCAAGAATCTAACCAAAAATTATTAATAACGCAAAAAATTGAATTTACAAGGTACTCTGCGAATGCGGAGAATCCTATATACGCGAGACAAAAGGACCACAAGAAAAAAAAACATAAAACGAACACCCGAAAAGGAGGATCCACCAAATCATGCTCCGCTCAAGGTATGGAAGAAGCAAAAAAGAAAACAAAAACGTATTCAGCAATCCATCGGAGGAAATTCCAAGAATATGAAGACCATTTTAGAGGGTCATGAATAATTAACCTGCATATGCAATTGGAAATTCCAGATACGTATTAATTTAACCAAAATTTTACACTACAAAATTCTGGAAATGAATTGTATGAGTTTAAGATTGATAATGAGGTGATGCTTCTCCGGTCGAAACGTCGCAATAATAAAGCCCAATTTATAAACTCACCGTCGAGATTCCGTTTGCGTTTGCGTTTGTGTCAAGCACGCCGTTACCCATTGAATATTAGAAATCCCATAAGATTTTTTATATTCGCCGTCGGCTGCACAGTTCGCCATCAGCATAGAGACTACGGTACAGCGAGGCCGACGCAAACGCAGACGAAAACGGAATGCCGACGGCGAGTTTATAAATTGAGCTTTAAGGTAATGCAAGTCCAAAAGCAAGTCTTTAATATCGAAACATGTTGCTATTATTTATTTGATAGGTATATTGTATAAATTTAAAAAATTTAGTGCCAAACTAAACTCTCGGTGTAGAATGTCATCATCATACTGGCAGGATCGCGGAAAGAACAACAGTTATCCTTGAGAAAATCAGTTCCACCACCATAGGCTCATCCAATATCAGCTTCGCTGGGCTGGTCATGTCGTCCGCATGCCAGACTCACGTCAGTCACGTCTTCCCAAACATATTATGTATTCCTAACTGTAGAATGATCTAAGCAAAGGGAGGGTGATTTAGACGATACAAAAAGCCACAAATGAAAAATTGGGGGTGCCTGGAAGGCTACGGCCCTGGATGAGCCCGCGTGGCAAGGAAATATACATGTACTTACGAAGTATCCTTCTACGCTCGCAGTATTTCGAACGACACGGTGAGGTCTGATAAAAGCTGGTCCAGAATAACGAACAACTACAATCGATGTGGGAGAATTTGTGAGGGCCCAGAATAGACTTATTAAGCTATCAAAGAATCCACAGATAATGATCAAATCAAATCTTTATTTACGCCACGCATATAGAATTTACAATAGGTATTGAAAATATAAAATATTTAAAAAAAATAAATCATATAATACCTATTCTTATTTTTTAATAAGATTCTCTTAATTTTTTAAGAGTATTAACATTGAGCCGAGCATTGAAAGCAGATGGCGAAATGGCAATAAAAATATATCTAAAAATAGCAGTTACATACCCACATGAAAAGACACTCAAATAATTTTAACAGTTTTTCATTTGACAAATTTTTATTATAAAAACTATTACAACTAGGACATTTACTGAAAAAATCAATATCACATTTCCGTAACAACTCATTTGCAGACTTGCACATTCCGCTGAGAAGGCAGTTTATCCCATATTCGGTTCGATGGAAATCCATTTTAAATATTTGCTTATTTCTAGAGTTTTTTGATGGAACATGCAGGCTAAAAATTTAAGAAGCTCCGGAGCATCGATGATATATATTGTTAACAAGCTTGAAGAATATCTGTGTAATTTCTCCTATTTTCCAGAAATAGAGAAAGTAATTCCTCGCAGTTGATTCCATCATAAGGGATTCCAAGTTTGAGACCGATTCGTTTTAGAAATTTTGTCTGCACTCTCTCTAAGCTGTCTTTGTTTGTTTTATAATAGGGTTGCCAAATTGGGTTAGTATATTCCAGCATGGATCTAACAAGAGCACAAAACAATTTTTTTTTGGATAAAAATATTATTACTTTCAGACAGAGCCCTGAAAACAGATCCCAACATTCTCGTGGCCCTGATGCTGATATTCCTCTCAATGTGAAAACTAAAAGAAAGCTCGGAATCTAGCCAGACCCCAAAATCTTTCACTAGCTGCACTCTTGCTATCTCCATTGAGTTGATAGAATAATATTAAACATAATTGGGTTTTTAAGTTTGGAAAATGTGATGATTTAATAATTATCTTTGTTCAAGTCTAAATTATTGTTTTTACACCAATTGAAAAAGCCATCAAGCTGATTTTACAATAAAAAAAAGTCATTGGGATTGATTGCAATCTTCAAAATCTTAAAATCATCTGCATATCCTAAAAACTCACAAGTGTCATCAAAGATGGTTTTTATATCATGTATAAGGGCATTAAAAAGGGAAGATAAGTGTTGTCCGCCCTGCGGTTCCTCAGATGTAACTAAAATTTCAGGTGAGATGTGGGTAGCTTTTTATTTCGAATGTTCGCCTTCTTTCCTTTAAATTGCTCTCGAACCAAGAGAAAAGAGGCCCATGTATGTCTAATGCATGTAGTTTTGCCAGAAGGATGTTCTGATCCACGCCGTCGAATAGTTTCGAGAAATGAGAATAGATTGCATCAACCTGATACTTACTCTCAAAGGCACCCAACAGAGTTTATTCATAAGCCAGCAAATTAGACACAACTGGTTCAGTAATAATTATGTTTTTAAACAGAGGGAAACCACTCTGTCTGCTACCAAAAACTCAAAAGTTTTTGATGTTATAGAATTTTCTTTTGCTTTATAATTATTTTTTTCTGTTCTATTCCCATCTTTGAAAACAGGTGCAAGATGAGACTTTTTCCAAGCAGATGGAAACACTTCCGAAATGAGTGATCCGTTGGAAAGTTTAGAAAAAATCTCAGCTTTACAGAATCAATTTTGTTAAAAACATCTAATGTGGACAATTTTATAAAGCTTACACTAACAAATTTTTCACAACCAGAATTCAAATCGGTAGAGGAATCCTCAAATTCTGAGTCTACCGATGAAAAATGCTGTCTAAAGAATTCTGCAACGTCTTGTGAACTGTCAGTTTCATGGCCTGCCAAGGACGGTATTTAGGATATTCAATATTACCTCTGACATAGTTCCAGAAATCTTGTTTATCATGCATTTGATTTTCTATGCTTTTCATATATTCTTTATGGCATACACTTGGAAGTAATCGACACTGAGATCTGAGAATACCATTGTTTTAATCATCCTGTGATTGAGTAATTTGAAACTCTTTATGAGCTGATTTCTTTTGCATGTTTAAGCTTCTCAGGCCATTCAACGTGAATCTACTAATCAAATCTTTATGGGAGCACCATGTTTCATGTTTCACTCCTCACGTACTTCACTTGAGATGCCAGTCTATCAATCACATTATCATTTTTGCAATAATTCTATAAATTTTGCTTTTATTACATTAGATAAAGCAAAATTCACATAAATTTGTGTTGAGCTATCATTTACTTTCGTCACTAGTACGTTATGGGATATTCTACCACGGAAATAACATTTTCGGCTAAGGTAAAATATGACGAAAGTTGTTCATTTTTTAATGGTCATAGAAAATTATATCATTGAAAATTGCATTTTTAAAATCAAGATATCTGGCTTTTTTCATTTAAAACAAAAGACCAATCAAACGCAGGGTGCGGCACATCAAGCCTAATAATAGGGTCACAAACATTAACTTCTATATCACAGTGGTTACAAAACAGTAGGTCCAGAAGTTATGTAATTTGGAATACCTATCTATATGTGGTAAAGCCCTAGATAAGCAACACAATCTGTAATAACCATAACCTTCTTTGTCAAATTTCCTTCCGGAATAGACCCATTTTGCGTCATCTGCCATGTAACATATAATATTCTTCCCCATTGCCAGTCGGGATTCAGGAAGGGGTTTAGTTTTACCACAGCACTTTTGCAGGTGACAGATGATATTTATTGTAAGAGATACGTGACGCGTGACGCCTTCGCCAGGGCGCACCTGAATTCTAGAACATACTTGTTATTCGGGAAAAGAGACTATTGCGTTTTTCTGGATTTTACAGGAATGATTTAGGATAAATAAAGGCCAGGATTAATTAGTAGTTTTTAGTTTTGAGATTGACTGTTATACGTTTTAGATAGTGAATACTGTAAGAGTTAAGTTGATTTGAGTTCATTAGTGAAGGAATTAGTGTCAGAGTGTTATAGTAACGTTGAATAAATTATTGTTGTGTTAATTGGATGTTGAGTTTTGAATCAACGGACCCAAGATTTCTGTCACGCACGCCAGAGCCGTGACATTGGTGTCAGAAGTGAGATATAGTTCGAGTACTAGGCATATACAGAATGTTCTGGAATTTTCCTCAAACTCTCTTCGAATATCTTTCCTGGTCTTTGTTTGTTCCAAACACGTCGGTGAAGTCACAAATTGGATAAATTGCTTAATTGTCGAATAGAATGTTCTAGAATTTTCTTGAAATGTCGTTTCCGATTGTCGATTGATATAGCAAGCACGTCGGTGAAGTCAAAAATTCGAATTCGATAACTCCCTTGGTTTCCAAATAGAATGTTTTAGAACTTACTTGAAAATTCACTATCAAAGTCAAAATTGGCTATACAGTCACTTCCAGGGTAATTTCCAGAATCGGTTAAATCTCTATTTGTGATTGTCACTGCTTACAGTAAATATTCGCACGACTCTGGGGTGCGTGACAGAAATCTTGGGTTCGTTTATTTCAAAATCAAAGTCCAATTAACACAACAAAAATTTATTCCACGTTACTACACACCCTGACACTAATTACTTCACTAATTAACTCAAACAACTTAACTCCTTACAACTTTCACAATAATCACAATCTAAATTGTATTGTATTACAGTCAATCTTAAACTCAAAAACTACTAACTAATACCGGCCTTTATATATCCGTGATCTATTCTTGCTTAATCCAGAATAAACGCGATAGACCTTTTTCCCGAACAGCACTGTAAAAATCTAGAATTCTCCTATCCGATTCTGTATCTTCTGGCGGAGGCGCAGCTAAATTCCGTTACACTGCCCTCCTCTTAAGATTTCGTCCATCTGTCTAGATGTACAACTTTCATCTTACTCCTGGTGTCGCGCTGAACTCGATAAACCAAATCATTGATCCTCTTGATTATTCTGTATGGTCATTTCCATGCTGAAGACAATTTCGGCGACACTCCTTTCTTTCTTGCTGGATTCTACAGCCACACTAAATCACCTTCTTGAAATCCGGCTGAATTGGCTTCAGGTCGTCTTCATTCGGACACTGGCCAGCTGAATATGCTCCCGAGCTAAATCGTGTATTCCCAGAAGTTCTGCCCTTACTTCGTCGGCATAATCTCGAATTTCTTTTCGTTCTTCTTCAGGTATTCCAAACATCAGATAACAACGCAAGGTAACCTGAGTTTCCTTCCAAAAATTATTCTAGCTGGACTTTCACCTGTTGAGTCGTGAACATCTGCTCTGTATAAGCCATTAAAAATAGAGGCAAATGTTTGTCCCAATCTCGCTGGTTCTTTGCGAATACTTTTGCCAGGTGCTCCTCTATGGTCTCATTAAATTGTTCTACCATGCCATCAGACTGTGGATATGAAGGGTTGTCCTTGTCTTACGAATGCCATGATCTCACAAATTTTCTTATAGATCCTTGTGGCTTAGTCGCACACCATGACGACTAAAAACTTCGTCCACTAGCACCTGGGCAATAGTGATGGCTTCTTGATTGGGAATAGCGAAAACTTCTGGCCATTTACTGAAGTAATCCATGATAATCAAGATGTATTCGTTACCACGCTTTGACTAAGGGAGCGGTCCAGCAACATCTATCGTTATTCTTTCAAATGGAAAACCGACGTTGTACTGTTTCATGGGCCCCTGAGATCTTAGTTTAGGGCCTTTACTGGTAGTACAAATGTCGCATTTTTGGCACCAGTTTGTAACGTCTTCATAATAGTGAAATCAGTAAAAACGTTCCCGAATTTTGTCCAAAGTCTCGTTGACTCCAAAATGCAACCCTGAAGTTCCGTCATGTATTTTTTTTTTCAATACATCTTCTACTCGATCTTTTGGAATAACTAGATGGTTCTTAGTAGTTTTTCCATCGGCACTTTCCCAAACTCTTTTCAGTAAACTATTTTCCAGTATCAGAGAGTTCCACTGAGCCCACAGCGCCTTGTTAATCAAACTCTTGTTCGACACTTGCCTCCATTCTGGCCTACCTTCATCATTTTCTTTAAGATGTAGAATTTGCCCAATATCCTGGTCTGCCTCTTGATCTGCTCTCATTTGTTTGGAAGTCCATTTATCATCAACGATAAGACCCGTTCTTCTCACAGCTGGATCAGTGTTTTTCTCAGGCATATCGATTCTTTGACAATGCTTGCAGTCTTGTTTCCATGGCCGTCTAGACAGTGCGTCAGTATTTTTATGCAGGTTTCCGGATTCCCATTGAATATGTCCAAGCTTATGGCACCGGTAATATTTTACTCGATTGCTCGGCGTTGGTATTTGTTTGAAGTCGTTTCCCGTTTGCCTACCTTCTAGTGATCGTTTCTCAATTTTCTCCATAAAATTACTCACAACATTTCCGAAGCTGCCATCCTCTTTTGACGATCGTTTATCCTTTGGGTCTTCAATGGACACTGCTCGTATTCTGGGTCGTGAGGCACCAAAGATTGCTTTCAGTTCCAATGCTCGGACAAGGGCTTCGCTACTTTTTCTGAACTTAGATATTCTCAGGTTTTCTTGGATCTTGGAATCTCTGGGACCATCAATAAATGCAGATACTGCCATCCATTCTGCATGTCTTCCCCAACTGCTAGAAACGCCAAATTCACTAGCCTTTTAACTTCCGATTCGAATTCTTGTAAACTCTCGCTGCGTTTTCGAATTCTTGATTTAACTTGGTTCAGGCAGGTCCTCGTAGCGCCACGATCAGTGCTGTAGCTTTTTCTCAATCGTTCCATCCATTGGTATTTGCAGCAGCTCCAAATTGTCGGATATACATGGCCCAGGACGTAGAATTGTCAACATTTGGTGTTTTTATCTTCATACTAGAGAATACTCCAACATTACCTGGATTGATGGATTATATTTCTAAGTTATTCACCTTATCTTCAAGTGCTTGAACTTGCTTCTCAACTTCTTGTCTTAATTGCTGAACCTCGTCTTTAACTTCTTGAACATCATCTTTAACTTCTTGAACATCGTCTTTAACTTCGGCTTTTACTTCCTTAATCTTTTGGTCCAGGTTAGCGACAGATCCTTGTATGGTTTGAAATATTCTCTGCAGTTTTCCAAGGTCTTCTTGCCGTTCTTGTTGTCGCCTAACCTCTTCTTGTTGTCGCCTAGCCTGTTCTTGTTGCCGCTTAGCCTCTTCTTGTTGTCGTCTAGTTTCTTCTTCTTGTTTTTCTTTTTGTCGCCTGGCATCTTCGTCTTGTTTTTCTTGTTGTCTTTTGGTCTCTTGAATTTCTAACATTTTGCGTAAAAGTTCTTCAATTTTTTGTTCTTCCATTCGTGCTTGTTGTCTTGTATTGTATATAATGTAGTTAGTTTAAGATTTTGACTGTTATCTTTTAAATAAATGTGATGAACATCAGCCAATTTCACGGTGGCTGGAGATGCTCTCTTGGAAAACGGTTTCTGAAATCAGGATTTTACATTCATTTTCTTTCAGCCATTCGGGAATGCCTCAGATCCTAGAATAATTAATTATCAGATTCTAATTGTGCCACTCACAATTATTAATCATTTCCTTAAACCGTCTCTTTTGTGATAAAAGGACATGGCACTAAATATTAGAATCCTGGTGATCGGTCGATTTTTTTAAAACTGCAGTATGTTATTCTATTCCTGAAAACAAGCATTTTTGCTTATGGTCACTTCTTTGTACGAGTATGGGATGTCCCAGAAAATTGAGTTCAAAGTTTTTATATGAAATATTTCCTTTGAAGCATAAACTTATGTTTAACTGATCTGTTATGTGATCTTGCAACTTATACATCTAAGACAAAGCTATTTATGTAGTTAAGGACAAAAATTATTATACAGGGTGTCTCAAAAATTATATTTTTAACCAAACTACTCTCTAAAGAAAGCCAATAACCAAATCAACTGCTACAAAACTATAATTACCTAAAATATCAATAATAACTATAAACATTGTAACAATGCTCGCCAGAGATTATTTGAAGTAGCTGCTATTCCTCGGAAACGATTTGGATTTAATACTGTAGAAATAGATCAACAAATACAAAAATATTCCATATAGGCCCAGTTTCACAATTGGTGGTAACCTTGTGGTAACCTGCACTGGTTATCGGATATCGGACTCATATTTGCGGGATGACTACATGGAATATTCTGAAGCTTGACCAAAGATTTTGGCTAAACCACACATTATGAAACAGATATATTGTAGGTGTAGGTTACCAGTGTCTTGTGTTTACCGTTGGGTTATCACTGTTTGTGAAACTGGCCCCAACTGTGTTGTTAATACAACAGACCAATACATATTCAAAATCACTAAACCGATACATCAAACATTTGATATAAATACTTAAAACTCAATTTTTTTAAGCGTTATTTTGGTTATTGGCTTTTTTTAGACTGTAGTTTGGTTTAAAATAAAATTGTTGAGACACCCTGTATAATAATTTTTGCTCTTAACTACATAAATATCTTTGTCTTTAATGCATAAGTTGCAAAAATGCATAACAGATCAGATAACATAGTTTATGCTTCAAACAAAATATTCCATATAAAAACTTTGGACTTAATTTTCTTGAACATCCCATACTCGTACAAAGAAGTGACCATAAGCAAAAATGCTTGTTTTCAGTTATAGAATAACATGCTGCAGTTTTAAAAAAATCGACCGATCACCAGGATTCTAATATTTAGTGCCATGTCCTTTCAGACGTTCTTTTCATTAAATCTGTAGGCTGTTTGTACGGCCAAAGTCGACATTGTCCGTAGGTACTTCTTTCACAAATGGATGAAAATCATCAAGGCTATTTGAAGTACCTAAGTCAAAAAGATGGAATAGTTAGCATCTTCTCTGTTCGATGAGGAAGTAGAAATTTGTTTTTAAATCATTTTAGAGTTCTGCGAAACATCAACAGGGCATACAGAAAAAAATCACTTATCTGAATATAATTAATTCGATGCAGAGACAAAGAATTTTCATAATCCTTTTTATCAATCGGCAATCAAATAGGAGCGTACCAGAGGCGCAATCAATCAAAATACGCCCAATTGTAGATAGCTGAGCAAATATATTTGGTAGCATAAACTGGAAACAGGATAAACAGAAACAGAGTTTAATTACTTTGGCAAATAATCAAAAATAAGTACCGGAAAACATAAGGGTAATTTAACGATGTTGGTAATAAGCGCTTCCATATGCCTTCTGATTAATAAGCTTTAATATCACATTGAAATGTGATAAGGATTTGTATAAAAAGGAGAAGTACCGGAGTACGGATATTCATTTTAGTCAAAACAGGTACTGCAGTGAAAATCTACAATCCACAAAAAAAGAAGGTAGGACAATTGTGTTTTTAAAATAATATCAATTAAATAATCGATTAGTAGAGTATGGATAGTTATTGGTTGACCATAATCTGCTCAAAACTAGGAATAGATGAAATTCTGTAGCACATCAAAGTATTTCATGGTAAAAATACTTACGTGTTTTTTTTATTATTGTAGACAAAATGAATCGACTAATAGCTTTCTTAGCCATGATGGTAGGATTTACCTTGGCTATAAGCATCCCCAATAAACACGTTTCTGCAGAGTTAAGGAAGGATCCATTAGCTGCTCTTTTAAATCAACTTATAAGGGAAAAGCAAGTCTATGAAGAAGTTGAGAGGGAGTTGAAGGCTCAATCAGGTACTTATTGGTGAGCAGACACTTGAATTATCTATCTTCAAGTTTTTTTTAGTTCTTAACAAGCACGACTCAAATACCTATAATCCTAGTAAAAGATGTGCATACTTTGGAGATGATAGTTGTGCAACAGGTAATTTGAACAATGATTTTTTTAATATCAAGTTTTCAATATCATATGTTCTGATTTTATGTAGGTGGTATTCCTGGAGCTGCTTCTGATAGCGACTGGATACACGGCGGATGGAGTCCAGGAAAACGATGTGCGAATTTCGGGGATGATGGATGTGCAACTGGTGGGAGAAACACTAAAGTACCACAAACGTAAAAAAGAATATAATGTTTTTTACAGGTGGCATTCCTGGAGCCAATACTGACAACGACTGGCTTAACGGGGGATTCAATCCTGGAAAACGTTGTGCTAATTTTGGAGATGAAGGCTGCGCCAATGGTAAGTCCTGATTTGGTTTCGAGTGAAAGTTTATTTTATGCAGTATGTTTATAGCGTTTTAGATAGTTTCCAACCCCTTTAGGGCAGGGCTAGGTCAAAACTGAGCCCTGCACTGGAAATAGTCGGTATACCGTGATTCACATTTATTTATATTTCTCTCTTGCCAATGAAGCCTGATAACAGTTGGAGAGGTATTATTCTAGCTGCCTCAGCCTGCAAGATGTTCACAGAGAATGTACAGTTGTTTCCTCATACTCCATATAAAGTCTGCACTAGGCAACTTCTTGAAGTCCAATCCTGTGCATGGGACGTTTAAGTTTACAATATCCAGTATATATCTACCATTTATGTTTTTTAGCTTTGTTCTGCTGAGCTCTAGTACTCTGTGAACCATTCGTTCCTTTAGGAATCTTATTGTGAGTGCTTTTGCTTGGGTCATCTTGAGGTAAATTTAGCCAATGTTGTTTAGCTTTGTGCTCCACCTAGCTTGTTATCATATGACTAGCAATAGGTATTATGAGAAACGCACGGCACTGGCTTTGATCCTATAATATTGCTCTTAGCTCCCTTTATGATATGACTAAGATTGATTGTCATTTCATTGTCTTCTAGGTCTTGGCATTCATATTAGCGTTATTAGGCTATGCTCCTTCAGTTCTCTTAGTCTTAGAGCTTTCTGGCAAGTTCCAGACCGTTTAAGAATTGCAAATAGGGGAGCTGAGCGCTTTAAAGCTGTCAGAACATGATAATTTTTCAATGGTTTTGCGTTTGTGGGGTCAATCATGCTGGCTCTTGCTGACCTAAAGCAATTTCAATGGCATATACTTTCCCTTTAAAGATATATAATATACCCTGGACTGATTATGATGTCAAGTTTCGAGCTTTCCTGATGTACATCGGCTCATATCCCATTGTCCATTTTCGATCTATCCGTAAGCAGACACAAGTCTGCTTTTAGTAGGGAAGCTTCATGCTACTCCAAATTCTTTCTGTAGCTGTACTTGCCAACCAAATCTTTGTTGGATTTCTTTTACTTATGTTGTTCCGCATCCATCATTCTGCCGCGCATTTATACGCCTACTGACCTTTAAAAATAGATTGAATTTATTTCGAGTTTTTTATCTTCATAATTAAACTGGTTTAAAGCTTTCGCTCGGGTTGTTTTGATTTTTTGATATATGGTCCACCAGAATAATAATATGAGTTTCAAGTATATTATTGTATCATTATCCTTGTTACGTTTTCACAGGTCTTCTCTGTCTCGAGCAATTATTATTATTGTAGACATAAAATGGTAATCAGGTATAACTTTAAATAATACCCATGCATATTCTTCCCGTTCTGGTGTTTACCTATCTGTTCTTGCTCATGCTAATAATAGAAATATACTTAGAGTTGACAATGTCGTGCAAGCAGTTGAATTGTTATTTCTTCCATTTCGGTTATTGTGTAATATAATAAATTTTAAGGTGGTATTCCCGGGGCTGGTTCCGACAGTGAATGGATAAATGGCGGATTTAGCCCTGGAAAACGCTGTGCTAATTTTGGGGATGATGGATGTGCAACTGGTAAGAAAATAGTTCTTTTTTACAATTAATAGTCTTCAAACCTTATCTCTACTCAAGGGGGAATTCCTGGAGCTAATATCGACAACGAATGGTTAAATGGAGGAGGATTTAATCCTGGAAAAAGATGTGCTAATCTAGGAGATGAAGGATGCATGAATGGTAAAGATTTATCAAATTAAATATATTTTCAGCTAATTTCGCATTGAATTCAATTAAGGTGGAGTAATGGGAGCCGGCACTGATGCTGACTGGTTGAACGGTGGTTTCAACCCAGGCAAAAGGCGATAAAGACACAGCCTGGATACTTAAATTTGCTGTCGTGACTATAAAAAAATAAATGTTTATTAACTTTTGAAAAAATAGTCTTATTTTTTAATACCAAAGATTGTTATAGTTAAATATTCCTTTGCAGTTCAGGGACATACTTTGCAATGGCATTGATTAATTTTTATAACTTCCTAGAAAACATTTATATAACTTCATAACATACCTACATACATACATACATACAAATAGAAAGGTTTTTTTTTAGATATAAGGGGTGTCCCAAAATGACATTGATTACAATTCTGTTGAAGGTATCTTTCGTTTGACAAAAAAATTGCCATTGTTCGCGAAAACCGCATCATCCTTCTAACTTCAATAGCAACCGAGTTATACCTCATGTAGGTACAACCCAAAAGGGACACCCTGTAAATGCGAGCATCCACCCTTAGATGGACGAGTCGGGCTAACCATCAGACGGGACCACAGGCGCCAGACTGTGGTGCCAGAGGGATTCGCAAACTTTAGAATAAAAATGCTTTTATTTTGAATCTATCAGCATTCTATCAACATCGGCGTCTCAGTGACGCGAAAAGCCCTCCCAAAATATCGGGATGATTTGAATAATTTATCATTTGAAAATAAGGTGCAAAGGCGAATTCTCGAAGATAAATAAATGGATACGCTCTATACGAGACACATGATATTTTTTACTTCCGCTATCCACAAGTGCCAGAAAATTAAATGTTTAAAGTTTTATATTAATTACAGGGTATTCATGGAAAAAAATTCTGCTTTCTTGGGGAAAAAGGCGCAGTGTAGTTTTTATTTTGCGATTTTCGAGTATTTTCGTAAAACCCAAACCCTTGCATACCTGCCTGCGAAGGTGAGTAAAAACTACGCGAAAATGTTTGGGGGAAAACGTCTTGAAATTTTCAATGGCAACAAATCTTAGGAAAAGGCGGCTGTTTTTCAGAAAAAACTTGAATTGCTTGAAAAGTGAAACTGAATAAATACCGGCTGTCAAAGCGCGAAATTCACTTTGCGAGGGCTGAAAAAATCTTAGCTTAACCATATTTAACTTATATAGGGATTTATATTTATTGGGTGTATTAGATGCAGTGTCGTCGAAAGAGGTTACACTTCTTAATTCTTTGGCATAATTATCTAAAGCGTTTTGGGCCTCAATATTGTTACGATTGTTGTTTATTAAATTAATATTAGCCACGGATCAAACTACTTGTGAAACAATTTTACTTGCGACATGATTTGAAATAGATCGAAACCCTCGTGGAAAACAATTCAAAACCTCCATTCAGGTTTTTTAAGCAAGCAATGTTAATTGAAAAAGTGAAAAATAACACCGAAGCAAAACCATCTTAGGAGCAGTGTTTGTGCGATTTTAGCTTTGCTTCGAGATTTTTTTTCAGTTTGTCACGATTAGGCTAATTACATCAAAATTGCTGTCTCTAGACCTTTGACAAGCAGCTTAATTCGACTTTGCTTTGCATGCCAAAATATAATAATTGTCATTTAAATCAAAGGTGAAGTTCAAATAATAGTATATAAGCTTCGTTAATGCAAATTCATTAAGCGAGTGACATATTTTTATTTTAGAAAATATTATTAAATAGATGCTTGTTATGTGTGAAGTTTAGATAAAATCTGTCAATTTGATTAACGAAAATTATCCATTCATTTCCGTTAATAAATTAAATTATTTTATTGATTCAGAGAGAAACGGCGATTCGAAATTCCTCTATTTGTTTTTCGCTGTCCATTTTCAGTTGAGTGCATTTCTGCCTAAGAATGCACGTTAGAAACTGCCCCGGAACTAGCAGGTTCACGACATCGACATCTCAAATGCAGGAGATAAACTATAGTGTCAATATTAATAAGATCAAGGGATAATCTTCAAAGCAGGTCATTACTGCTTTTCTAAATTTTTTAAATTCTTTCATTGACCTAAATTCGAGTGGTAGGTGGTTGTATAACTTGACGCTCTCATGTCTTTGTTCAAAGTTAGTCTAAGTAGGAAGGGGATTGCAGTTTGCTCAGTGGATCGTTCAGGGGCATAATTAGCAGCATTTGGATTTATTTGCCCTTTATGAATAAAGCAAACAGACTCTAGGATAAAGATAGCAGTCAAAGTTAAAATTTTGTGCTTCTTGAATAATGGTTTGCACTGTTCCCATAATCGAACAACCCGCTTCTGGATTCGGAATACTGAGTCAAAGCTAGTTTTGGAACAGTAGCCCCAAAAGGCCACACCGTACCTTGTCCGAGACTCAAACAGAGCATAATACACCATTTTTGCTGAGTACAAATTGAGTGCCTTAATAACTATCTTAAGAGCAGAACACGCAGATGAAACACATACATGTGTCATAAAAAACGCTATTCTGTTACCGTTACCAACTTATGCACATACTGTTCTTGGGTGCAAAGGTCCTAGGTCCTACAAAAAATAAGAAAAACAAAATTAGGTCCCAAAACTCTATTTATTGAAATTTTTTATTTAAAAAAAAAGAAGTTGAATCAATAACCAGTGTGATCTCCCCTGTTCTCGAGGCACGCATTGAACCGCCTTAGCATGAGAGAATCAGCTTGTCTATCTGCTCTTGACGAATATTGTCCCACTCCGCCACAATCAGTTTTTGAAGGGTTATCGGGCTTCTAGTGCGATGTCGGCGAGCGTTATCATCCATAAAAATAAAATTTGGCCCAAATTCATTTCTCCGGGGTAGAACAATAATTGGCCTGATAACATTTTCGAGGTAGATGTTTTCCATCAGCAATGTATGTGAATAAGAGGAGTGCGGTAATCATGCATAATGCGCCGCCAAAACATTACTGTTCCTCCTTGATAGGGAACCACTTCTTGAGGAAAAAGCAAACGTGCTGCGCGTCCTGGTTCTCTCCATACCCTTACATGGCGGCTGTCACTTGCCAGTCCAAATCGAGACTCGTCAGAAAAAAGGACTGGAATTTGTCCATTGAGGTAAAAACCAGTTTCTGTGATAACGGCTGCATTCTAAGCGGTCATCTCTATGTCCTCTAGTAAGACTAGGCACTCTTAATGGTCTTCTCGATCGCAAATTGGCACCAGCCAGCCTCCGCCAAATTGTAAGCCTGGAAGTGAGTCTACCGTACGTTCGTCTGAAATGCGTTCTCATCGCTGTGACACTGATATTCCGAATATGTCGAACAAAAGTGGTTAAATATCGATCCTCCCTTCCGTCTGTAATACGAGGACGCCCACTACCAGGTCTCCTATTCACATCTCCAGTTTATTGGATCGCACTATTCTCATGACAGACGATCTGGGAATGCTAAGTCTCGCTGAAATCCTATGATTTGACCAGTCTTGTTGGTGTAGAGCGATTATTCTGGGTCTATCAAAACCGGAAATTCGATGTCCAGGCATTTTTCAACAATTGAGAGCAACGAATACTTTTCGAGATTTAGGAAAAACTGACAATTTTTAACAAATGCTATAGTTAAGAAAAAGATAAGGTATGCATTTTTGATAAAAAACAGCATTTTATACCAGATTATTTCTAACAAAAAATTATTTTGATAAAGGTCTCAGGTTTGGTTTTACAGGGGGTCCAAGTTTTTTGACGCTGTGTGTAGTTAAGGTTTAAGTTAGATAATGTGTTATTTTTGCTTCATACAGACAGGAACCAATTTTAACTGGAATTTTGGTCTTGGACGTGAAACCAGAGAGGACAAACCTAAGGCTGTTTGAGGGAGGCAGGTTACCTGATAACTTTTTGACGTCATCTGTATGCCTCGAACATAATGCAAATCTCCATAAGGCACCCCAGATGCGTCATCAAGTTACCCATTACCAGGCAACCTATTAACTTTAGGAACCTTGGGACAAACCATACTACTCATCCTCAGCAATGAACTTCTCTACTGCATGAACAACTTTGATGAGAAGTAAGGAGTGGACCTGTCACCTGGGGAACATGAAAGAACGAAAAATCCTGTCACCTGGGGAACATGACAGAACGAAAAATCCTCACATCAAAGTTACAAATGTGGCCAGATGTGAATAACCTACAGTATTCGAATACCTGTAAACGAAAAATCGGCAAATCAAAAAAACAAGAAATTATAGTTTCAAACAACAAAATTGGTGAGACTCTCAAACTTTGAACAGAGAACAAGTAGCTCCAAAGTGAGACAGAAAGCTACCAAACATCCACTACCGAGTTACAAATAGTGATATAGCATTTGACAGACCAAACTGGGGTACCAAACTGAGGCGAAAATGCCTCCCGTTATAAGTATGAAGTTGATTCAAATAATGTTATGTCAAGTGAATGCAAACATATCAACGATCAGTGATTCAAAATTCAAAATCAAAGAAGTTGGCTGCTTAACAATAAAACCCGCATTTCACAGAGATAATAAATTAGAAATTGAAAATATTTTCCTAAATAATAACTACCCAGTAGCCTGAGATATTAATCAGTATCAAATTGAGACAAGCCAAAGCGTAAACATTGGAGAGAAGATAAGTGAAATTCTCATTTATATCTTGCGTATCAAACAATACACAGAGGAAATTTGAGAATTTAAAACCTGATTGCAAAATCAGATTTATAAATGGTAACGTGTGTGAACCGCGAAGTGATACGTGTTCGAACGAGGCAGTATTTGGAACTGTGGTGTTTCAGGATCGGTATGTATTTATTCATTCCGTACATGTATATGGCACCTAGCACAATCCCATTGGTCAGATTTAAAATTTAAACCAATTGAACTTCGAGTGCTATACGCGCGTACGGAATGTAAATCAGTGCTATATGCAGTTACGGAATGTCATACCTAGTTATTGCAGTAGAAAATTTTGTTAAGCTGAAAACGAGTTGAGCGTCAATTATTCTTCAACTATAGGTATCTATTTTACATTACATTACAAACATGCGGTGTATCAATCTAAGTTCCGGAGAGCAAAGCAAAGAAAATATACATACCTAGTATCAGAGCGAAAGCGGAAAGCGTCAATATGTTTATTGGATAATATAACAAAACAAGAAAGCTTTATACAAAATCAGTGATCTAGAAGTGCCAAATTCGCTATTTTTAGAAAGCATAAGATCAACAACATTCTGCAAGTTGATGGTCATGGTGAATTTTTCAAAGACACAAATTCTTCCACCTATCTTCTAGCGTCATTTTCAGTCATTAGGTTTGCTCCATAGTTTCCAGGACTCTGATCAAAATAGGTATTTATAATTCAAAGGTAGTAAAGTTGTCGTAGCGTGCATGGCGATTTCAAACACCGAAATAACTACAAGAGATCTGATAATGTAATAATGTCGGCGAAGCAATGCCATTTCTTGTTCGAAACATTTTTGAGAAAATCGAAAGAGAGGACGCAATACCGAACTCCATAGAATTATTTATGTAAGCTCGACAATTACAAAAAAAAAAAAAAAAAATTAAATCTGACCAATGGAATTGTGCTAGGTGCCATATACATTTACGGAATGAATAAATGCGATCGGTATGAGTATATAGAAAACAATCGTGGTGATGAGTAATGGAGATGAAACAGCATTGGATGAAAACTATTTTTCCGCAAACTTTTTTTTAAAGAAATTTGAGTACATATTTCTAGACCCGCAGAACAAGATACAGAATATTTTATAGTAAATACATGACAACAAACAGCCGAAATGGATGAAGGTAATAAAATAATAAAGGACTTCATGAAAAATATAAGACAAGAAATAGAAATGGGAAGGTCAAAGACAGAAAGCAAAACAAGAAGAACAAAACCGGCTTGCAGCAGAAGACCGAGAACAGAAAGAAAGACAAAAAGTGGAAGACCGAAGACAGAAGAAAAGACAAGAAGAGGAAGACCAGACAAAAAGCAAAAAAAAAAAAAAGAAACGAGAAAGAACGAAGACAGAAAAAAGAAAAAGTAGAAGCCCGAAGACAAGAAGGGTCTGTCCCAAGATAAGAAAAACAGAACCGGCATCAGGAAAATTTTTAATTTTAGCGAAAATGGACCGTAAATCTCTGACGAGCAAACCAGACTCGAGAAAGTCTTGCTAGGGCATGATAATTGATTCAAGAATGCAATCAGAGAAGTACGTGAAGAAGTTGGGAGTATTTGTTAGGAAGTTGGAAATGTTCATCATGAAATTGGAACTGTTCGTCAGGAAAATGAAATAATTCGAAAAGAAATAGATAGTTTGGAGAAAAAAATTAAAAGGTTAGAATGTGACTTTAGATCAGGAAATTTTATAGCTTCGCAGGCGGTATTGAAGTTAAGCCACCTCCATACGACGGACACACATCGTGAGGCGTCAGCTCGAGACTGTTGCAATGGCTTATGGTTAAAGCTCCGATGATATGGCTACAGGTCTGTTCTCACATAAGTCTCTGACAGTTTGCAAACTGTCAGTAAGCATCGCCCATACGTGTTTTCAATGCCGGCCTTCCAAGATAAATCGGTAACTTAGCTGAGCGACCCAAAGCAGCAGCAGAAATGTGAAAAAAACTAGTAGCCGAAAATTTCATAAATGGAATTAGAGATATGGATGTAATATTAAAGGTGAGCACCAGAAATAATCAAGGGACCTTGAAAGAAGGCACCAAATGTAATATATGGCTGCGGAAGAAAACGTGACTCTAGAATACGGCAGATCTCGCTCAGCCTTCAAACCAGGAAGACTAGAATTCTTTAACCTAATGAGGCTGGTGGCTCTAATGAATTCCAACATTGCCAAGAAGTTTAATGCGAAGCCACTTTCATGGGGGGTTACTTACTCTCCGCACAGTGATTCGGGAGACCACAAATTGACATGATGGTGAAACAGAAGTCGACGTGAGATTAGGAAGCATTGGGATCTATCACACCGTAAAAACTACAGAAACTGTGAAAATACACGGCAATACCGAACAACTTATATGTGAGCAGTAGTAGAATGATTTTGGGAGCTCCTCACAATAAATACCCCGTTAGGAAGACCTTGATAAACTTACAAGGAATCATACAATCATACCACCCCGAATAACAAACTTTTGCCATCATAAAACTATCCGAATACCCAAGGGCGAGGTCATAGGCACTTATGAGACTGTCAGAAGAAATAAATCAGCCAGCGACAATTCGACACTTTGCAAAAGTAAAAGCAAAAATGTCAATTCGTTCAATAAATTATTAGTGAAGTGAGTTTCTAGTGGTTCCGCGGAATCCGTGACATTTAATAGTTTAAAAAATTATAGGTGAGTGTGACGATGGGTTTTTTTTTCTGTGTTTTTTCTAGTTATCATTTGACAAAAATCATCTTTCAGTCATACTCACCCTCTCTGGTTTGGTTATTGAATGAATTAATGAATGAAAGAGTGGGCGGCCGCGACCGTGGTTATTTAATAAGTTTATTTTGTTGAATTTGCGTATTTTAGGCTAATGGATACCTACAGATTCATATTTTCACGCTCATTTTGTTGTCCATGCCTTTCTCACACTGCGAAACTTTTTTCAAGCCGTGGAAAGAAACGTAAAATAGATGTCGGCAATTCGATAAATACAAGCTTTAATATTTATTTGGTCTACCCACTTCTAGCTTGTGGAACTAACACTTAGTATTAACAAATTTTGTAAAATTTAATCCGCCAATGGTTCTCAAACTGTTTGTCTGATTTCATTTGGATAAAAAAATTATGATGAAACAGTTAAATCACGTGCCTATACAATATCTGAAGTTTACTGCATACTAAAAAAAAAATCTGTCAAGTGCGCAGCCGGTTAAATAGAATTGCCCAGAAAGAACAAAAACATCATCAATTCGATAGAAAAGCAAATCTTTTTAATAGACCCATGAATTGGGATGCAGCCGAACCGGAGAAAAATCATGTTATGGTTCAGTGAAGCATATGGTTATTTTGTTTACTAACAATTTCTTATTTCGTTTTTACTGTTTATGCACCAGCTTAAATGTTTTTACTTCACGGTACCTTTTTTTTAACTTTAAAATCATTCTCGGGATTTAAAAAATTTATATAATTTTTACCTCATAATGGCTAAATCTTAAACTTGGATTAGCTTGGCCAGAAGTAGTTTTCCTAATTTCATCAGCAAAGCCCTCACTTTCAAGAACTGGAATCTGCGCTTGTACCAAAAACAATTTTTCTTTTTCGTCCATTCCAACGGCTTCCAAAACTTTTCCATGTCGCTTGTTGATTACGGAATACACTTTTCCTGAAACAAAATAAAATGGGATAGGTTAAACAAAAACTCTGATAGAATGATAAGTACCTACACGTAGAGTATTAAAATGGAATAAACCAGTGACATAATTCTTGAGGGAAAAACTGCCTCGTCCTTACTTATGTTTTGATATCTTTTGGCACCAGAATTAAAAAATCTTAAAAATTAAATAGCTTTTATATAGTGTTGCTCTTTTTACTACGATTGCAACATTTCTTGAGACTTAGATTTGCACTAGCTTCATATTGCCACTATTACATAAATACATTAGCAATCATTAATAATAAAAGCCTTATCAAACTTTTCAAACCTATATGGCCTCTGGAGATTCACTTATTTACAACTTAGTATTGAAAGATGCTTTGTGACTTATTAAAGTTGACTTAACTTGACTTATTAAAATGTCGAAAAATAATTTATACAGGTCAGTATTTGACCTTCCATGCATTCAAACTACTACCAAACCTGCAGTTATCGTGTCATTACCTGTAAAAGGACAAAATATTTGTTATAATATCGTTGCCGAAAATCGTGAATATTAGAAAAGTTCTCAGTGCAACACTTAAAATCACCTGTCAAGAGGGTCTAACAGAGCATATAGAGCAAATTAATTGTGTCTCTCACTGACGTAGATAAATATACATTATGTGTTAAATAGGTTCCATATAATGATGTTATTATTTCCAATGTCTCCGATGGTTGCAAGCATTGCGAAATCTGTGATTTTTTTAAAAATAGTTCATGAATATAAACACGTAGATCAATGTTGGTTATCGGAAACGCTTTTGTCATTTGCGCAATTTGAGACACGTTTAGCACATAAAAAAATGTTATCATGATTTATATTGCAAAATGCATTTTACAAGGGCATATATGTTGCTATCGTTATTCTACATTTATTTGCATTTATGTTACTTACTCATGGTACTTGTAGTTTTTGAAATATGGTGTGTATACCCCAGGAATAACCGAATCTTGGGGGTAATTGAAAACCTGTAACTATTTACCTATTTTAAATAAATGATCAAGCGTTGGAGCAAATGAAAACATTTCGAATAATTTCTACTTTCCAAATGCAATATACGGTATCCGCCAAAATAAACAGTACCGAAATCTAGAGCTCTGAGTAATTGCGCACGCAAGTTGCATTTATCATATTTCGCTTACTTGGCATTAGTTATGAGGTTGACATTAAGTTAAGGTTGAAATCTTCGTCATTATGTATCTTTCAACTTAAGAAACAGTTTTTTTAGTAGAGCAATATTTCCGGTCATACGGATTTGGAAGGAATAAAGGCTCAAGTTTGAAACAAGTCTCAGAAAAATTTCAGCAACGACTCTTAATAAATATTTTCAATGATTTGCAGAATCGGTATGAAGCTTTTTTACGTCGCTATATGATGCATTTTTTGAACATATGCGCATGATACAAATTAATAAATCATATGATTTATATGTTCAGTACTGTTTATTTTGGCGGATACTGTATTTACCATCCTTCCAATCACCCCTGCTTCCATTCCCCCACATTGACATAATGTTCTGAGATTGAGCGATCTTAAGGTAACTTTCAAGTTTTTTTAGAGACTTCTTATTGAATTTAAAAAAAAAATCTGGATGAAAAGCACAGTAGTTTTCAGTAATTTATATAACATGGATTTTTTTCAATAACGTCGGATGACTATACTAGATTAGTTGCAATAATTCTTGTTGAATAACAATCCTCCAAACTTATGTCTTGTCTGAAAAAAACTAGACCTAAAAATTTGAAGGAAACCAAAAACTCTATGCAGGATGTCACTTTGGAAACTTTCCACTTATATTAGCGGCAAAATGGAAAATTGAAAAAAAAAAATAACAGGTCAACTATAATTTGGAGGGGGATGAGTTTGTATGCAAGCGATTTCAAACCTGAATGGGGTGGTATGATGAGGGTCAGAAGACCTTAAATTTTTTCTTTTTGTATAGGATATCAGAGTCATCTAAATTTTTGAGGCAAAATTCACTACTGCCCGAAGTGCTAAGTCATAGCATAGCTTATTTGAAAGGTTCTCTGACACACATTTTTTCCTCTCTGAGATAATATGAGTAGGAAGTTTTCAAATTGACACCCTGTATATGAAGTACTTTGTATATGAAATTACATGTCGGAGAAACAAAACGAACACGTGATACCGGATTGAAAAAACTCAAGAGCAACACACAACGAGGAGAAACAGTCAAATCGGGCATTGCGCAACACCTATGGTACAACCAACAAAGAACACATAGACAGAAGTACCTAAAGATCATCAGTAAAGCGCAATATTGGTCGTATATGCCAGAAAAAATAGTCAGCAAACAATCACGTGAAACAATCCAAACAAACTCTTACCCCCAGTTTCACAATGTGTAGTCACCAAATGGTTAAACGAAGACCAAAGGTTAATGAATAAAAAGTGTTTCACACAGGGGCGGATGGGCTCAGGCGGGACACCGGGACGATTCCCGGTGGGCCGGAGAGCCGGTGGGCCAGTTTAGAAAAAAAAATAAAATACGATAACAAACAATGCGCCGCAACTTGATAGAAAAAAATCACTTAGGGCGTAACTCGACAACACTCTGCTAATTCAACAGAAAGCACTCTTTGTTTTTTACCGTTTTTCACAAGGCGTAGAGCTGCCATCTAATATTGGAAAATATTTTCATTAAAATTTAGACTTTTTCTGTAAATTTACCCTTTTTCTGTAAATTCATACTTTAAGTCAGACATTACTGAGGACACTACAAAACTTACCGATAATAACCCGAAATTTTAATCAGATATAATCAAAGTTACCAATAATAACCCGATCAGTTTCTGTTTCAGTTAGTTTGCAATTGTAATCAGACATTACCGATAATAACCCGGTTAGTTTGGATTAGTTTGCAATTGTAATCAAACATTACAAAACTTACTGATAATAATCCGGGTTAGTTTGCACTTTCAATCAGAAATTATCAAACTTACCGATAATAACCCGGTTAGTTTGGGTAAGTTTGCAATTTCAATCGAACATAACCATTTTGTTTTCAAAATTTTTGTTAGTTTGAAATTACCGATGTTATAACCTGGTTCGCTTGCTATTTTAATCAGACATTACCAAACTTACCAATAATAACCCGGTTAGTTTGGACATGCTTCAAAATTTTTGTTTTTCGAAAGAAGTTATTCAAAGTCAATATTTTCCAAATGGTTGATTTTCGAAATGAAAGCATTCGGGAAAAAAATCGCAATTTTTGTTTACGAAAAATGAATATAGACATGTAATGTCTGCGAACTAACCCAAATTGCGGTACTTAAAGGTAATATCTGATTAAACAGAAAAAGTGTAAGCTTGAACTTGAAATATTTTACAATATCAGTATGGCTCTACGCTCTCGTATTATTGAGTCAGATAAGGAGGTATTTCTTTTTCTAAAAAAGTAGACTATTTAATACCCTATCCAGCGTTATTCACCTCCTGCTGAGATCCCGCAGGGCCGCATGAACAAAAACCGTCCCGGGCCGATTCAAAGTTGCCCATCCGCCCCTGAGTTCACATCATCTGGTCAAGCACCGCATCTTTCAGTTAACTTGGAGTTGAGTTGACCGTAAGAAAATTATGGGGTGGTTAAAATTAAACCAGAAATGGCCTAACCACAATTGGCTAACTGGCTAACGTCTTGTCAAGTCTTGTCTTGTTGATGGGTTGTTTTTCTGTATCGTATAATTTTTTTGTTTGTGTTCAAACTGAATATGAATTGAGGTATATGAAAAGAATGCATCGATAATGACGACGGAGGTGGACGACGTGCAAAAAAAACCTAGAATTGATTTCTTTGAAGAATATGATAAGAAAGATTCTTTTGATCGGTTTAGACTTGGGTTTAGATTATCACCAAGAACAGTAGAAAGGACGAGTGAAGATTGTGAAGAAATTACAGATTATTTTCCTTATTCATTTGAATCCTTTTTGTCATTATTTGTCAATCTTGACAAATTTATCTACGATTTATTACACTGAAATCATAAAATCTAAAAATTCTACTGATAACCTAAAAAAAATTAAAACAAAATATTGGTTAATTGACCAGCACATTTTTTTCTGCTGTGAAACGCAGGGCCGATCCTAGCAGGTGTGCAGCGCGTGCCCCGCACGCGGGCGGCCAAATCTAGGGGCGGCCGGAGGCCGCCTATATTTCTGTCATTCAAGATTCAAGTAAAACTTTTTACGAATTTCCCAAAATAGAACTACCACTAATAAAAAAAATAAGCCGAACTTTAAAAACTCCTGAAAAATGAAAATAAACCCCGATCTCCTGCATTAATAGAAAGTTCAGTGCAAAGTCAATATGTAGGCTCACGCATAATGTTTTAATTCTTGACACATCCATCATAAGATCGCATAATTTCTTATCTTTCCTAAATCTTCTTTGTTATTTCAAAATGTTCATTTTTGTTCCCCAATTCACCTAATTTTGCAAGAATAATTACTAACCGTCCACCAGAACTAGATGAATACTCCCGCTAACAATTCCCACTTTTTTTGGTATAGTATTTCCAAACTCAATTGGAACAAGGTACCTACCTATCCACAACAACAACAACATAGGAAAATGGGCCCACGATACAAGCAATTAATGGAAGAAAATAAAGGTCCTTCCGGATTGACCGGTTCTGAACACGAGCCAAATACTGATAAATCGGAAAATGATTTTATTTATCCCAGGAGAAGATACAAAAAACGACTTGAGAATGCACAACCACTCACAAACAGCAACTTTGTCGGCGGAGACCGAAAAGTATGGCTCCATCTATATAGAGTAAAAAGGGAATGTGATGAAAATGCGATACTTCGTTACATTAAAACCAAAGATGGTTTTGAAAATCTCCTGGTTACTGTCAGAGAACTCCCCACAGATCAAAACAAATTGAAGTGTTTTGTAGTGACAGCACCACTACAGAAAAAGGACACCATGTACGACCCAAAC